TATATATATGTATATATACATACATAAACATATACAAAAGACAAAGACACGCACACACACACACACACAAAAAAACATATATATATATATATATATATATATATATATATATATATATATATATATATATATATATATATATATATATATATATATATATATATATTCACATGCCTGCAAACACATACGGATAAACAGCCACAGACACACAGGCGTGTTTATACCAACTGATTCAGAATGCCTATGCGCAAGACACATACTTACTTGCTTACATCTGTAATTGTTGTTTGTGTGTATACATACGTATAGAGTTGTAATTATGACTACGATTACTCATGCTATAGTATTGTTAGTGCGAGTATTAGTCTTGATATTTCTATTAGTATTACTGGGTCACGGACGAAAAGCTGTCACGGCTTGGAGGTTACTCTGTTCGAAAGTCTATATCAGACGGCAGTTGTGCACGAGCCGAGTGACAAGCAGGGTAACTCCACTGCGTCCGCGCATGGCCATTGCACGTGAGGAGGGAGGGGGCGCAAAGGATCGCTCTTTGGGGCACCGAGGCAAAACTCGTGAGCCAGGGCCAGCGATGAACAGCCTTCAAGTTTCAAGGCTTTCGGCGCAGGACTTAACTATGCGGATAGAGGTTTAAGGGTTTCAGGATTTTGGGCGGACTTGGGAGGTAAAACACGGCCTTCTGACCTATCTTTTGGGAGATGCGTCGGGCTCGATCGGAACCTTGCAGCCCGGCTCGTGACAAGCAAAACCAGTCGTTTCGAAACAGAACCCCCAAGTAAGACCCGAGAACGAACACTCCCAAAAGATCCCAAAAGCCAAGCTTGGCGCCCCCGAAATCTCCAGAAATCAAACCGAAAACCCGCCTTGCAGGCAAGCCGGGAGGAAGCCGAGCTCCCGGCAACCCCGGCCTCCGAGATCGGTTGCTGGTACTATAGAGGCCTTAATAAATATTACCTCTTCTACTTTGGGGGGGGGGGGGTTGTCATTTTATCATTATTATTATTATTACTATTATTATTATTATTATTAGTATTAGTATTATTATTATTATGGTATACTAGACCCCAAAACCCTATTCTAAGTACTAAGGCCCCTAAATTTAATTAATTTAATTAAACATACTATTGGGCAATGCGGCCTCTGAAGGTGTTCCGGGCTTCATGGGCTTATGTTTTTCTCCATGCATGTGGGGTTAAGTGTCGGGCTTGCGGTTCAGAATGGCTGTGTGAACTTCGGATGTCGTTCTGCCAGGCTGGTGGGGCTGTGAGATTGTCAAGGTTCACGTGGGCAAGAACCTAATGCGGACCTCACACAGCAGGACGCTCAGAGTAAGAACCACCTTTATAAGATGCCCCGACTCCTAATTGCAACAAACACTCGACCTTTCCAAACTGGGATCCGTTCCTGCGATCCACATCGTTTTACGGCCTGGTGCCCATATCTAATCCTGGAAGAGGTACAGTGCAGGGCAGCGGGCGCAGGGCTTCACACCACGAGGCCCAATGGCTAAATGCGCATGATCCAGAAAGCCAGAAAGAACCGCAGATCCCAGTCTTACCGACCAAGCAGCGGCCAAGATTCCCCGTGTAAACATTTCACGGGCTATCAACTGGGTTCCTGTGCTCCGACGTCTTTATCTGGTTACCCTTGAAACAGAGAATTGCGGGTACACCGAAAAGGAGAACCTTTTCAACCATTGCATGATACGGTTGCCGACACGTGTCGCCAGCATGGGTCATAGGCCGAAAAACAAGCTCAAGCCGGCTGGACATGAAGAGTGGACTTGGACGAAGCTGAATCAGGGCCTAGGATGGGTTCAGGACTTAGGGGCCTATATCTTCCAAGGTTAAGGGTTTGCGTGCGGAGAATTTCGAAGTGGGGGGCGTTTGGTGCGGGCTGTGCGCGTCCGCAAGCACCCGTGCCTTCCCTCGTCGGTTGAAGACATACGGACTGCAACGAGCCGATGATTCGGAGTGACACATGCACTTGAAACAGGATTCTGTAGCTTTTAGAGTGTCTTCAGTGTGTCGAGTGTGTGTGCCTAGGACAACACAGCACATGTACCGTCAACAGCATGAGCTTTATACTCCCTATCCTCAGTTGCTATGACTAACTAGGTCGCTCAGACCGGTGAGCCTCAAGAAGTGCTTTTCAAGCCCCAAGCAGTAGACCCACACACCTGTAGAATCAACCCTGCCTCTTGGAGAAGCTGTAGGGAGGTCGGTTAAGAGCGGCTGTTGGCTTGTTAGCTTCGGACCGGAGAGCTGGCGTGCGCATCGGCACGATAAGAGTTGTGCGCATCCTGCTGGAGATTGCCAGGCCAAATGCAACAAGGACTCGTCGACATGTACATGTCTACCTGACAACACTGACTGTCATGCACATGTGTATACGCATAAATATAGATACAAATACCTGTACATAAGTACATATATACATGTATGGAGTTGTGTGTATGTATAAATATAAATATAAATGTATATATATATATATATAATGTATCTAAATGATATGTAGAATATGCAGTCAAGAAGTTTTTCCTCAGATGCCACTTGGCTGGCCCCTGAGAGGCTCGGCTTAAGTTTGTTTGGGTGGAGGCGGAGCTGGGCATTGGTCTTGCTGCGGTAGACATACGTGCATGTACACACACACATAACATATACACATACATGTACATCTACACAGTGCTCATGTATATAATGTCTATGCCCATGCTTCTGATATGTTTCTTGTGATGCCTCCACCAAACCGAGTCAAGCACGGCGCCGTGCCAAAGCCAGGCCAAGCCAAAAACCGAGCCGCACCTGGGAACCAAACGAGCCCTGCATATGTACACAGTACACATGTACACGTACACCTCTACGGGCATACATGCAGGCAGTCACCATATGGATTCAACAGCAAGAAAAAAAGATCCCTGTTCGGACCGTGCTTCAAGCAAGTGAGCCAAAGAGAAGCTGCTTAGACCTGCACCCGTATCCAAAGTGTATCCAATTTGGGTGGTCTTCTTCATTTTGTGTTCAACGATACCACTTCTTCGGCACAACACCCAGATGTATGGAATCTCCCGCCGGATGCCAGGGTGAAAACATCTGCAGAGCTTCGGGCCGAGAGCTGCGAGGGCCCGAACTCATGACCTTCTCCAGCAGACCCGGGAAACTTTGACTTCTCTTCTCCGTACGATCAGCCCTTTCCTCAAGCTTATGTCCGAAGACGGCTGAAGGCTTAAGCTGAAATGCTCAAACTTCCCCGTTTTGGCACGGTTCGGGAAGGTGCAAGATGTTGCTGGCAAGGGATGTGGCCACGGAAACCGCTCGCAGGCCCGGTCGGAACACCCGAGCTCTAACAGAAAGGTCAATATCAACACTAACTACTATTTGCTTAAGAACCACCAAAAAATAAAAAAATATATATTCCTTATGGGGGTAATATAGGGATTATTATTTTTTATTTTTGGGTGGCTTCTTAAGCAAATAGTAGCCAATAGTTCATGCACTAAACCGAGCCTAAACCCCATATTAACCCCAGTAACTTCCAATGACTCTAAGGAGTCAATATGGGAGTTTCCAAAAACAGGGGACCCCAATGTAGCACCTTAAATAATAGGATCCTTATTGTAAGGACCTCAAATTTAGGTACCCCCAAATGTTCGGAAACTCTCGTATACTAAACCGAGCCTAAACTCCATATTGACCCCAGTAGCTTCCGATAGCTCTCACGAGTCCATATACTAAACCGAGCATAGATCTGCGCATGTCCTTACTCTAAGGACTCCAAAATAAGGTACCCCCTAATTTTCGGAAACTCCCATATACTAAGCCGAGCATGAAATCTGCGCATGTCAGAGGTCTTCGGTCCAAATCAGCTTCCCCGTTTCGTCATCCTCGAAGTCGAGGTTGTTCCCCCCCTCCGGATAGACGCTGAAGGCGTAGCCTTGTGGGTTAAGGGTTTGGGTCTGGTGTTTGGGTTTAGGGGTTTAGGGTTTAGGTTTTGGGGTTTAGGGAGGTTTAGGGACTCCTTTTCCCGCCCCCACAGCTGCCTGGGGGAAAGACGGGGGAACTAGGTGCTTTTCGGCTGAGGCTTTCGACTCTCACGACTCGCGCCAGGCACGGAGAGCGACCAGGAAGACTACCGGATCCCTGCTGCTAGAAGTCTTGTGCCTGATGCAATTCTTTAGGGTTGCAAGGGTAACCTCATCCCGAGTCTCCGTGCACCTTCTTTGAGCAATAAACCCTCTAATCCCAGGTCAAACCTCGATCTCTTAGTCCCTACCACCGAGAAAATACTGCATACTCAAAGAAGCCATGCTTCGAACCAGGAAGAAGACGGCCTACTACCATCGAATTGACGCACCAAGTCAAAGTTCGCAGGCGCGATGTGGCATTGCTACTTGCTAGTTCCGGGATATCACGTCTCTCGATAGTAACATGTGGCATCGCTGGTTACTAGTTCTGGGATAAATCGAGTCTCCAGATACTTTAGGTCCTTATGATACTCAATCTACTGCTTACCATCTACACTGGGGTCTCTTATCCTGACCCTCTCTTGAACCGCACAATCCCCAGCACCAACACAAGCCACAGCACGAACGGAGCCAACGGAGCCATGCGGCAAACAATGGTCTTGCTCTTCATGTTGGGCGTGAGGAAATGAGAGGCCTGAACTCCGATCAGATAATGGCGGCCGACGGCAACAAACTCCGGATAACCCCGAAGCTGTGGAATTCAGGCTTCTGCGGAAGGGGATGAGTTGAGGTATAGTCGGTACAGTTGAGGTGCCGCCTGGGACCTCTTCAAGATATTCTCGTCATCGGGATTTGTTCTGCAAAGACGAGCAAGAGCTTACAAAGGTAAGTAATTCTGTCTTGCAACTTGTAAGCACAGGGCCGCTTCCGAATGAACTGAGAATTACTCTTGCCGTCTCTTTGCAGGGGCTGTCTGTGAGGCTAGATCTCATGGGAAACTCAACTTGGCTGGCCTACTTCAGGTGACAGTGGGCCTCTTTAACCTTGAGGCGGGTTTCCCAGGCCAACGAGCGAAGTGTGGACAAGCTGCCCAGTTGGGGAACATTGTCATGGTGCCGACGTTGATGGGAAGAGAATGTGTCCTGGGCACTCCCGCGCAAACTCGGCAACAGGCACATCAATCCGAGCAGTCAGGGAGTGCTTCCGCAAGCACTTTTTCCGCCAAGCCTCGTGCACAATAGAAAGCACGAACTAAAGCCTATCTATAAGACCCGAAGAGTGCTGCCAGAGGGCTTCCCAAAGGGTGGATTGATACCGCGGGGATCCTCGAAGTTGAACTTCATGGCATTCTTCCTGGGCGTGAACACAATGTATGAAGACGTTGTATACGAGCGTGATGACCGGCAGCTGAAGGAAGGCTTGAAGTCATAGGATTTGGGGGTTTATCGATTGGCTCCCCATGTTGTCTCCTCGTGGTTTCGGCATCGCATGGCTTACACTCGAAACGATGTTGCATGTCCTTGGGACCAGGCGGCTGGCGCTGCTCACTCTGCCCTTCCCCGAATCTAACCCTAACCCTAACCCACAAACCCTCAGAAAGGCTCGAAGCTTGAATTACAGGGCCCCTTAAAGGCCCTTTAAACTCTGAGCTTCATCACTCCTGACGAGTAGCTTCGCCTGCACCCAGTAGCGGCCCATGGCATAGCCCCCGTCCGTATGGGCGGATGGTCTCAATGCCTCAGGATTCTGCGGACTATGGCAATGAACGGTGCAGGTCTTGGACGATCGGAGCTCGCATCTTAACACCCTGGTCCCTTTCTCGTCACTCTCTAGGGGAGTGGGGGGGCCCTTGCTAATGATATAGTGGAGGGATCTGGGAATATATCTGTGAGTACTGTACTTGAGCTAGGAGCACCGTTACTTGGCCCTCTATATTGCAGCTCAGTCTGCCGTCTGGTCTAAGTCGCCTGGCTCTCCCGGGCAGATTATCGGGCTTTGAACAGGCTTAGGCTTAGGGGTTTAGGGTTAGGGTCCTAAACCGTTTGTTGGTCGCGAGCTTCGAACATCAAGGTTGACGTGCAACGACGTGCTTCCCGATTCGGATAGGAAGGAGTTTGTTCACGCTAGCATGCCAAGTGCAACGGGTCTACCTGCTGAGGTTTCTCTACACAGCGTCTCCCAAAGCTTCAAGAAGAGCAACGAAGTAAAACTCACTCACACCCCAATTCAACCCTGTAAGAATTTGAAGCTCAATGACCGCTTCGCTTGGACTCATCTTGCCAGCCTGCCTGTAGCATATGTAATATGAGCTGCAGCTGGGCCTATCAAGTCAAAAGCTTGCGGCTCAGTCGCGACTCTCCGCTCCGACATGCTGGGAGGGGTCGTGACCATCAAGCGTCACTGGTATCGCGGGCAATGCATGATTGTCCACGAGTTCAGAAACTCCCAGACCGGGCTTTAGAACGCAAGCAGAGGTGCTACACACACGTGTAACTCAGCCACATGGCTATACAGAGACAGTACAGAGATAGATAGGCAGGAGTCCGCCATGACATAACTCCGAGGCGCATCCCCGGGCTGGAAGACCTCTATCCAGATGAAGATTTTGAACCTGGCAGCTTCCGCAGGGATTGGGCAGGCCTCTTGACATCCAGGCTAACCCAAAACCGGCACTTTGACGACTGGGGACAATCCTGTGAACAGATCCCACACGCCAAGCTCTCCATTGAAACACCCTCATCTACCCCAAACTCCCTCTGGTTTATGAGTCTATGATGTCTTGCAACGAAGCTTAGCTGGCGGAGGTCTGAAGTTGAGGCTGCGACCCCAACCTGCAGAGCACGGATGGAATCCTGTAGTGCTACGACGGCGACGACGCGACTTCTCCTACTCCTCCTCTCCGACTCCCGCTCCTGCTCCTATACTGCTAGTGCCAAAGCTAGGGCTACCGTCACGACGACTGTGGCTGCCTACACGCGCTCAGAACTAGTTCCTAGGCAGGTGTGTACTGCAGCCCCAGCCCGCTGTCGGGCTGTTGTAGACCATGTGCCACAGAAGCCCCGGAAGCTGAAGCCCAAGACAGGGGCATGCGTTGCTTGTGCCCTGTCCCTGTCCGCGGAACCTCTGCGGCAGCTCGTCCTTTTCCCATCCCGATCGCTTCAGGTACAACCTGGCTCAGCGTCTCTTGCAGCACATTGACATCGGCATCTGCGAGTTCAGTCTTGAGGGTGTTGCCACGAATGGCTGTACTTCGAGAAGGCTGAGATGCTGCGGTATCGTCTACGATGGATTGCTCATCAACTGAATTGAACTGGAACTGACAACTCTGACCGCTATCTCGACTAGAAAGTTAAAACAAACTGCACTGCATACGATAGTATTCACGGTCTTTGGGGTGAGACTTGCCAACTGGTCCATCTCCTCTCAGCCGAGACCCTCCCAAACGATCCTCGCCGGCCTGGCAATTTCCTGGATTCTGGCACGAAGCCTCTGAAAGCGCGCGTTCTCGTACCTCGGACAGTCGCCGCAGAGACCCCCGTGGAGGGCTGAAGATTCACAGCTCACTGTTTCAGGCTTCACGGTTTCATGCTTGATTAACTTGATTGCTTTGAAGCAACAAGTGCAGTGGTGACAAGCCTGAGGGAGCTGACTGCTTCGCAAGGGCTTCAAACCGCCCTGAAACGGTCGCGAGCACCCCGAGCCAAAACCCCGTTGCTTTCCGAGCACGGCCGAAAACACACACAGCCCGTTCCCCCAAGCTGCTACAGTCAGTCCAGTCCGAGGCTTGTTCCCGCTTTATCCGAACCCGGCGCGCGGCACCAGACATCGAGCTCTACACTGGGTGTTGGGCCAAAGCTCCGAACCCGTAAACTTTAATTCGTCACCCGCAAAGTGACTGCCAAAACAACTCTGCAAACTCTGACATTGCTGAAGCTTGAATTCTCGGGCCACACTCCCCAAAACTCATTACCTAAACCGGACCAACCTAGCCCGATAAGCCTGTAAGCCCCATATCAACTCAAAATCCTGAACCCAAAGCCCCTAAACCATCTCAAAACCAAAGAGTTTCTTTCAGACGAAGAGGTGCAGCTCCGGCCAGGCATAGTCCACTTCGGGCCAGGGGGCCTCGCGCAGACGGTTGAGGGCCCAATAAGCCCGTAGGTTTCAGAGCGTTGGAGCCCGTAGCATGTAGGGTTACATGACACAAAAAGGCAAGTGTGGGCGTGTACGTTCTGGGATTCTACTCCTCATGGCCTTAGCAAGACGATCTGAGTGCCTGGAAAGGTTGTGCTGGTAAAGCAGAAGATGAGTCCGATTGTCAGCCCGAGGTTGCAAGGCCTCTGCTCCGCTTCTCAAGTCTATCGCGCGGTTCTGTGAAATCCTTGGTCCCGGGTTCCTTGGAATGAGCGCTCAAATCATCTAACGAAGTCACAAGACAGAAGGTAGGCATGCAAGAAACTTCGTCAACAAGTTTGCTTGTGCCGGAGTTCTTCCGGTGCCTTCGTGTTGCTCAACAGGAAATCGGCATCGTTTCCCGCGTCGAGCATTCCAAGTCCTGCCCCGTTGCAAGATAAAGGGTGCAAGCAGCAGAAAGCGAAACCTTTGAACATGCTGAGCATGCACACATCTGGTGAGTGCTCAGGGTCACTGTGGCTCCTTGCGCCTCCTCATCGAAGTTCGCTGGAAATAACTTCTTGTTCTGCATGGCAAAAACCTGGAATTCCCGTCTGGGAGTTTTAAACTTTCACCCGTAACTGAAGAAACCGTAAGATACTTCGTCTGAAAGTGCTTCGAATATCGAGGAGTTGAGCATTCGGTCCAGACAAGAAAGCTGAGCAGCTGACACCTGATGCGTCGTGAAACACAGAAGCATTTCAAACTCACTGCGTCCACATCGATACAAACCCTAAACCCTAAACCCTAAACTCCGATACAACACATCGTCCTGCAAGTCCGGCTTCCTCTGTGCACAGCTGCATCTTCACGGCATTCGCGCGAACCGGACCAAACGACCATAGAAATGTGCACCACTCTTCACTCAGCGCGCCAAAATCTACGTAGAGTCTAAAGGTCTTAATTAATATAGAACAAGATATACAAACAACAGGACCGACAATGCATGCTGAGGATCTCCACAAAAAAACTCGCGGCCTCAAGCCGGCAAGCAAATGACCAAGAGCCCCAAAGCTGACTGTAGCTCGAAAATCCTATAAACCCTAAACCCTCATAAAAACCCTAAAAGTACCCTAAATTTAAAACAAAAACTAAATCTAGTCTCACTCAGCTCAGAGCTCGCTTCTGCCAGCGACGAAATCCCAGGTTCACTCGAGAGTGATCTGCTGTCATAAATGCCTCCGCAGAGGGGACAATAACTGGGATAGTTTGTTCATGGGATCTCGGAAAACTGACACATTCAATGAGACTACAAACGAGTGTATAGGGCCACTCTCGAACTTCGATTCGTTGAGTGTGGCAAAGCCAGACGCGAATCAGGAAACCAGCTCCGGGAACCTGGAAGCTGAACCTGCGAGCCTCCGAAAAAGGCTTATCCAGCTCCAACTCTTTGGGCAGCGTCTTGTTGACGTATTCCTGTCGGTTGCCCGCTGACGGCGTCGACCCTACTCTGACGGCTTAGGTAAGGCCGTCTGGTGCAAACCTAGACGAAGAGAGGTAAGAGAGTTTTCGGTACATGGGACTTACTAATTATTACCGAGTGTGCTAGCAAGACCAACGGCCATGACTAAAAACGAAAAGTATTCTTGTCGTGGCAACCATAACGACAAAAACGAACCATGCATTGCCGTTTACATAGTTGAGATCGATGTCTATTGTGCTGAAATAAACAAGGCGCCATGGGAGTACACTTACAGGGCTGGGTTGCTCAGACGTTGACAAAGTCATATCTCTGGAATTGGCTGCCACGGCATGGCGAGCCGAAGAATGTCGGTCCTTGCCGCTTCTGCTCAACAGCATCATCTGTACTCCAATTCGTATTTGAACGAGGTCTCTCTGAAGTGCCTTATGTACTCCCGTGAGCCTTCAAGCCTGTAGAACTCTACGCCCCAAGCATCCACCTGGAAGCCACGGAGACCGATCTCGGCCAGCTCTTTGTGAAAGTCGGGGGACTCGGTGCAGGGCTTTCTGGGTTCCGGGGTTGAGGGTTTAGGGTTAAGGGTTTGGGGTTTAGGGTTATTCTAGGTTCCGGGGTTTTCAGTTTTGGGATTTGGGCTGGGGGTTCCCGCCATTCAGAACAGGCGAATCCGGAAGGGCTCACCTGCAAATTTCAGCCCCATTTCGACACGCGACCACTAGAAGCTTCGGTTGAACGGACGAAAGTCCCGCATGATGTTTAACCCCATCCTTGAAGACTCTTGCAGAGAATGCACTCGCAGCGAGAAAAGGATAGGTCACTTCTATAGCCAATTTGAAGGTTCGCCGTTTCGGCTGCTTACGATTCACAGCAGGCTGCACGGCCCAGTGTGCAGTCCACGGTAAAGACCTGCATTCACGAAAGCAACAGATTCTTGTGCAGTGGCAGTGGCAGCAGCAGGAGCAGGAGTAGTAGGTAGCGGTAGGCTGGCAATACTGATGAGGAAAAACCCCACCAGCACCAGCACCAGCACCAGCATGACGGCAACCAACCCAACTCATCAACCGCAGAAAATGCCGTTCGCTTACCACAAAGGCAGTCCGACAAAGGCAGGCTGCTAACAAACCCATACAGTACTTATGTTGTCCAGCATCACAATCACATGGGAAACACTGGTACAAGGCATTCTCAAGAACCTAAACCTCCACGTTATCCCAAATTCTCAGCCCTTCACTCTAGCTGAACTGAACCTTACACTACCGGCAACAAGGTCGCCTCGAAAGCCTCCGCATCAGGCGTGGATAGCGGAACCTGTTCAGACAGCTCTTGCTAGCTCGGGCTCGCCTCGTTTCGGGGAGCCCCCTCTGCTCTGAACGGGTGTCAAAGAACCTGAATCCCAAAGTTCCGTGAACCTTCACATATGAGGATTTCAAGACCACGCATGGATGCACTGGTCCTTCTTTTCCTGAAAGATGCTGGTGCCTAGCACCCCCCACAATCCCTAACCTCAAACTCCAGAACCCCTAAGTCCGCAAAGCTAATCCCCAAGTCCGAAACCCGAGACAACAGGATTTTCAGGTGCAAACCTTAGGTGCGAACGCTCGAATACCGTTGAACCGGAGCTGGAAAATGAGACTGGCTTAGGATTTGGGGGGCGGCGGAAAGGGAATGGAGTTCTACATGCTGTTGAATTTGAAGAGCTTATGAGCGTGTAGTACGATAGAAGACACAAGCTGGCCAACGCCATGCGCTTTTGTAAGATGAGCTGTCATGCGATAACTTAATTAATGTACCGGTACTGTGTCACTGCATGATGTCATAATTGGTCTGCGAGCCCTTCGGCTACACGGAGAACTGGTGGAGGTTCCATTGGCAGCCGAGGGAGCGCGGAGGCTAACCACCACATCCAATTTGCCGTCTAAAGCATTACAGGTTCTGCCTTCACTCTGCTTCCTTGTTCTAGGAAGTCGGGTTTCCTCATTTGTAGCCCAAATCAGTATGGGCTTCAGGACCATCTGCATTCGGAAGGCTACGCGTACCCAAAATCCGATCCTCTACCCTACCCTAACCCTAAATCCAAGAATCCGAACTTCATGAAGTTCAATTCGAGCCGGGCAGGCGGAGCTCAAGTGGATCGGCCACAGGTACCTCGACTACTGCAGTTATGGTTGAGGTTTATGGGGTTTAGGGGTCAGGGTTTGGGGTTTAGGGTCTATGGTCTATGGCTATGGTTTTATGGAGTTCAGTGTTCAATGTACTACAACTATGGTTGCGGCTATTCTGATGATCGCTAGTAACTACTCCGTTCGGATATGGCTGACCTATTCTACCAGTTGGCAGTATTGCCCCTCGCAGATCTAGAAAGTTTTGGTTTAGGGATGACCTTCTCACTGCTTGGTGCCTCCACTACCTTTCGGAATTGTTGCGCTGGTGGAAACCCCCCATTTGGAAGTTTGAGCTTGCTCCTTGAGCTTCCCCTCGCTTCTGGTCAGAGCGCACAGACAAACCCAAGCCTTTGTAAACTCGGAAACCCGTGTCATCGCCTTAACCCTAAGCCCAAAGTGGGCATTTTCAGTTTTTGATAAGCTGCAGGTGGATGCAAGAACTGCACCCGTCAATGGTGGCACTCTTCGGGACCCCCTACAAACGAAGAATAAAAAGAAGTATACACATACTCCAAAGGCATGGTCTCTTAATCTCAAGCTTTACACCAGCCCCCATGTTTACCACTAGTGCTACAGGGAGTCTGAGTCGCAACTTGTCAAGCCCGAACCAGAAACTTGTTGGATCTCCAATGCGAATCAACCTGCAAAGACTGTCAGGGGTTTCCAACATCCAAAATCCGAAGCGGTTCGGACGAGGTTCTTGTGCAGCAGTCTGGCATGCTATACCAGCATTCTTTAGTAAGCAGTCTTTCCCTCACCTGGCTGTTGCAAACACTGAGGAAAGTGCTTCATGACGCCTTTGTCAGCCTGAGCCGCCTCCTGCGACTGATGGCACTGGGCTTTGACTGACTACATACATTAGCTGTAAACGTACTGGGCAACTTAGTAACTTAACCTTCATTTTGCATAACATGCATATCGTCAAAAACTACACCCGGCAGCAACGACTGTTTATAGGATCCTTAAGGGGGGGTGGTTCAAGGGGGGAGGGTACTAGGGAGCTTTGGGGAAGCTTAGGGAAGCTTAGGGAGTATTGGGGAATAATGGGGATTACTAGGTTACCTACCCCCCTTGGACCACCCCCCCTTAAGGACATCCTAAACTGTAGTCTGCCGCAGGCTGCGTTGGTCCTCTACTTTCTGCTCAAGCAACGCCCTTACGAGACACCGACATGCCGCAACATGAACTAGCCGAAACAACAAACTTATGTAACAAACTCTTTCTGCGGGCTCACAGGAGTGCCAGTCTCAAGTCTTGTGCACGTCCTCCACGATACAAGAAGCCCCAATAGTACAAGACCGTGACAAAGAAGAGGACTTACATCGAAACTTGAATGCAAACAGAGGGATATGGTCGCTAGAGTTGCTTAGATAAGTGATTGGTAGTCAAACTGTCATGCACAAGCTCGCCTGAAGCCATGGCCCAACAAAACAGCCCCCGCATCAGATCACCTAAACACTTGCAGGCACCCGAACATCCAAAACAAGTCTAAATGGAACATACGCAAGCTTCACCCAGCACCAACACTTCAACAGGAACTACGAGAACTTTGCCACGGCTTCTTCTGGCAGAATGGTAGCAGTGCTTGAGGACACTGCACCAATGCTATCCGATGCTTGCATTGCTTATTGCTGATGTGCGTGCAGCTCCTGAAACACCAGGCAGGCTCCGATAATGCCATGAAGAATGAGCCGTCCGTGCGACGGCATGGCGATATCAAGCCAGAATTCGCAGCTAGCAGTGTAGGCTCTGTTCCGTCTGACTTCAGTCAGGAGAATCCTAATTGACTGTGAGGAGCAGCTGTGGTTTCATCATGCTTCTGAGTCAGTGGTGAATGCCTAGGCAAGGCTGGGCTAGGTAGGTTGGGTTAGGCTGGGTGCAGCTGCTCCGTGCTATGAGAGAGCCGCAGGCTTCGGAACATCGCAGCTGCTGATGCATACACTCAAGCGTCTGGCTAAACCTTCTAGACTAGAGCCATTTCCACATGCCTGCGTTGAATCGTAATTATGTAGGGGCGGGATATTTGCCAGAGGTAGCATTGAGTGTGTACAGTCGCTTCCCTCTTCTGAGGGCATGTTGGGCACAAAGACATCTTACCCAGCGCCCCGTAGATTCAGCAACCAGCGTTGATGATGACGACAACCGGCCTGTAAAATAACACATTGCAACCTTCTAAACCCTCTAAATGCAGCCTTGACCCCGTCGAAAGCCCGTCAAAACTTGACGTTTTGAACCAGTACTGAAGGTCCTCGCCCTGCTACACTGGGGGCACGGGCAGCATTGTTCTCGGCAGCCAGGTGCAGCGGAGTGCTGCCATGGGGATCGACCTGCAAGCAAGCCAGGTCCGTCAGTCAATGTGTGTGTGTGTGTGTGTGCGTATACATGCGAGTGCGCAACTTGCGCAAGCATCCAAAGCCAACAACCACGGAGATGGTCCTAAAAGACTGTCAGATCTGGGACAGTTGGAGAGCACAACGAGGGAGAAGAGAGATACTGAACGATACCTTCTGACGTCCCAGGGCTTTGTAGGCTTCGCAAGAGTGACCCGTCTTCAGGCAACCAGCAGCATTGTCGTCACCATCGTCTTCGGGGCACTGTTCATCGGCAACATTGCAGTCATGTTTCTTGGTTCTGTCTGGCGCCGTCACGCATATCAACAGAATACATACACACAGATTTTAAGATGCAGCCTGGCCCGGGAACCAAGAACCCCAAGATTTCTGGGCACCACCTTGGTTCTTGGTTCTCGCCTCGGCACAACGAAGGGTTTTTACTCGCAGATTGCCATCTGCTATCCGGCACCCAGAGACCAAGAACCAAGAGTCATGCAGAGTTTTGTTATTCAACACAAGGCCCAAACAGCCCTGTCCAACACTAGCAGCGTGTTCAAACATTGCAAACCGGACATTCCTTGAGCTCAGCCTCGCCAACCCCTACGGCTCGAAAAGGCCTTGGCATGCAATGGGTCCCTGAAGTAGCACCACCTAGGACTTGGCGAACTTTCGGGTTTGGGACTGGTTTGGGACTTCTGTTCGAAGAGGTCCCAAGCTTTCCGATTGGAATTGTCAGAGTCTTGCCGTGCAAGACTGTCAGACTCACACTTCAGGGCGTGGCGCCTTCGCGGCTTTTGCCAGTCCCATGATAGCGGACATGCAGGGCAAACACCCACCCTGCCTTTTAAGCATGGCGAGGCAATCGCGTACACGGCTTTGAGTACAGGGCTTTTGGCTTTCGGGTCTATTCGGCTGTCTGGTTGCAATCGGGCAGACTGAAGACTGACTACGCCGTGCCTTCTCTTCTGGAACACCGGTATCTACCGGTCCTACCTCTACGGTTCGGGGCCGCAGCTTGGGCCTCGGCTGAACTTCTTCCTGCGCGTCCGGCTCCTCCTCATCGGGGCGACACGAGAAAACAAAGGTCACCGGCAAAGCTATCACTGCGAACGAAGACTCGAAATGCTGCAGTTATCTGGACACTACCCAAAGGCCCCAAAGTAGTTCCTTTTTGGGGTTCGTATATAGAATCCTATAAGGTAATCCCAAACAGGAACTACTTTGGGGCCTCTGGGTAAGCCCACAAGAACATCGCCCACCTGCATAGCTTCAGAGCCGGGGTCTTTGCCGGCGTCATCCCCGGCCTGCTGAAGATGCTTTCAGTTTATCCTTGAACCTCAAAACCCCACCACTGCTGGTCAGAAATGATTGGGGTCTCTGAGCGACTTCCTCTGGTAGCAAGCACAGCGTAGTGTTTTAGTCTTAGCACTCTGTCGTGCTGAGTATGCTGCCAAAAACTGAATCTGCCGGGGAGCACGCATGCTTGGGCAGCCTTTGATACCACTTAAATACTGACAGCAAAGACAAGACATATTTTTGAAGAAGCTCAGGAAATCAGCGACCCATCCAAGCCCTAATAGTAGCATCCTCATCATAAGGGTTCCTAGATTGCCCCAGTTAAACTATCCCTCAGGATAAGGTACCCCTCAGCGTGGCGAACGGAGGATTTTCAAGTCGAGGCCTGGTGGCACGGCTTGTCCAGCTCCGCCTCCAGAGTTTCGACAGGGCTTAGGACTCAAACGACGTTGGTCGCAGCTCTTGCCTGGCGCAACTTGGACGTTCAGACCCAAACTTTTCGAGTCATCCTGCACTCACCTACTACACTGCTGGCCCGAACAACAGGATGCGGCCGGTGCGGTGAGGGCCCTAAGTACGTTCAAGATGCTTCGCAGCCAAGACACTAGAGTTCGGGTCTCTATCCAAGCCCTTCAGGCGTCACTGCTGCGGCGATGCGTAGGTTCAGCTCACCAGGCCTTACTAGCCGAATGTAGGTCAACCCTTTTCTGAAGCCCGGAATGGCAAACCCGGAGTCTGCGCGGAAGGACGCAAATCGACAAAAGCGCCGAAGCTAGCACCTCTCGAATCGCGACTGCACGCCGTGCGAGGATTCCGGCAGCACGAGCCTGAGCCCAGGCACATTGTGGCGGTCCAGGCCCCAACAAAGGGTTTAGCTATCGGGTTTGCCAGCTCGTCGTATGGTTTATGGCTGTCGTGTGTCGGGTAACACTGAGGCTTTTGACCTTTCGAACTGTTCAATCTGCTGTGAGCACCTGGCAACTGCAGCGATGCGCCAGCTGGTACAACAAAGCAGACTCGCAAGCACTGCTGGCATGACCCTGCTAGTGATGTGGCCGCTTTTCTGCAGCAGGTCAAACCCACACCCAACATCTCGAAAGATCTGCCAGGTAGGGGCCCGTGCTGCATCAGCCGCTGCACACTCGTGCAATGGGGTCACAGCACCTGTCTCAAAAGCGAGGGGGACTTGCTTCGATCTGTCTGCATTATATTCTCGGCGCAGTCGTCAGCTTCGGCGACAGTTTCCCAGCTCATTAACGAAGCTAGGAAATCGAGCAGTTGCCATCCAGCTGCATCATGAGCAGTACTGTGCCAAACTCATGGCCTCGTACTTCTACGCCCCGGTGCCACAGCTAAAGGCGCCACACTTCCCTTCAGCACTGCATGCCCCATAATGTAGGGGCCTTAGTAATTTTAGACTAGGATTTGGGGGTCCATTATACTTATAATAAGGAAACCCCAAAAATAGTATTGGTAATTATTTAGGCCCCTGTATTCCGTTCAGGCCAAACCCTCTTCAACTGTAAACTCCGTGTTTTTGCCTGCGGTTTTCAGGTTTGCCTTGGTACTGTTCAGGTCGTGCAGCTGCACGACGGAAGCTTCTTGGGACACTGCAACTCACGAATGAAACATTCGAAATCCTTCCGAGGCATAAGCCCCGCTCCCAAAGCACGATGCCTGTATTTCCAACATGCGCCACGTCCCCACGGCCTGAACTCTGAAAAACAAATTCCAACCTGAAATGTCCCAAGTTTTGACAAGAACTTCTGCTTCCTGAACGGCTGGGGACAATGCCGGGCACCCCCTTCACCTCGATTCGGGGGAGCTAGGAGATCGGAATGTCTCGCTGTGGATTCGTAGCTCATTGCCGTAATACTAGCAGGAAAAGTAGCAGTAGCAGTACCGGTAGTAGCAGTAGAAGCAGGAGCAGCAGCGGCAACAGCGCCAAAGCAGCACCCTCTGCTAACAGCATATTAGGAGCGGCCAATGCTAATCGGATCAACAAACACCTTACCCAACTAACACCATGGCCGTTGCGAGAGGTGAGAATTAAACCACTCGTCGTTGCTGAGCCTGAAATCCAGATAACAGTCTTCTTGACACAAAAGCAGGACAGCATATGCATCAAATTTGGTTTCTCGTACTTGTGGGATGTCTTGGCTTAATCCCCAGAATCAAGACAGACCTCTTGAATCGTTTACGCATGAGACATCACGGACAACTGCCGCATCGATTGTGACATCTCAGATCCCTGAGCCGCGCACGCAACAGGCAATGTTCGCCTTCGCATCAAGGAGCAGCTGCAATACCTGACAATGGGTTCGACACATGACTGATTAGTCTCAGACATGAATACACACACACACACCCTCATACATGATACATACATGTATACATACATGCACACATATAAATATATGATGAAACGAATCAGCGGTACAGATTTTATCCGACCAATTAGTGTTATTCATCTTTGTACACTTGGTAGATTTTGGCAGTACTGTGATAATTAGAAGACGACACGATAATAAGGATAACCCTGTTCGCCATTACATTCATCATAATCATAACAATAAGGTACTAGTACAATGGCATTAAGTAACACGAATGACAATGATACTCCTACGTGGTAACAATAAGAACGGTGATAAGGCTTGTCGAGGCATCAAAGCAACAGTTAAAACTTACAACGAATAGGCATAAGAATAAGAAAAATAATAATAATGAGCGTACTAATGGGAACAATCGTGAAGTACGAATCATGATATTGCTGCTTCATACTTGCCCTGGCTCTCCCGCTCTCATGAACTATCATCCCTGACGGGTGCGACCTCGACGCTGTCATGGTAAGCTGCCAGGTGCAAGGCCTTTCGAGCACACGGGCGTAGTCTAGGGTTTGGGATTGAGGGTTTGCGCTTTACGCTTGAAAAGATCAAGGACTGCCTCGGAGGCAAATTGCATCACGGGTCAGAGCAGAAGGAGTGGAACACCAAATCGAACGAGGCCCGAAATCCAAAAACTGTGCACGAACACCTCACCCACACGATTGAGCCGCAAGTCCTGAACATCTGCATGCTACTTGAGACCATAACTCTCAGACTTCCACCTACTTCAGGGCGGCTGTGCACAGATGGGCAGCTAAGAGACGCGACCGGCAAGGGTTAAAGATCCGGCAGGCCTCTAAGAAACCAAGAAGTCAGCTATAGTAATAGTAATGGTAATAATAATAGTAATAGGAGTAGTAATAGTAATAGTAATAGTAATAGTAATAGTAATAGTAAACCTGAGAGGAACCCCATAGGAACCGCTATAGCAACCCTTATAGTACTTGGAGGTTCATGGGACCCATAAGCGCAATTAAGGTACGAATAACCCCACTTACCAAGTCCCCTGATCCTCCAATAGTAACCCTCAAAGGGGACGCCATTATAGAACCCTGTAGCCTTTGAAGCGGGTAAAACCCCCAAGGGTACCCTGAAGTTAAGGAATCTCCTAGAGGCGCCCTTTCCTAGCATCTCCCCTGAGTTCCCACGCCGTCCGAAGTCCCGAGGGCCTGTCGCCTGAAAAAGCGGTTCTGCGCACAAAACTTCGTAAGAACAAGAACGATGAGAGCCACAGTAGTAATAATAATAAGACTAATAACAATTATAAACAATAATCATAACTGGTACCAGCAATAAACATACTCACACTCGTAGTCATAATGATCGTAAGAATAGTAACCACAGAACTGCAGTACCAAGATTAATAACCATGCTCGTAATAAGAGAACAAATACATGTAATGCCCCTATCTGGAGATTTGATATCAGCTCCTCATGCGACAACTCTTACAGCATGCATGAAAGCCTCAGGTTGAGGTCTGAGGTGCTACCTAGATGGATAGGCACCGGACCAGACATGATGGCATCGGCCTGTGCAGGAGGGCGGCGAAAAGACGTGGTGTAGTTCCCAATCTTCATGTCCAGGGTTGATGCCTTCAGCTTTCGGGAATTACCTGCTTGCCGTGGGGATTCCGGGGACCTCCTCCGTAAGTCGAAGCAAAATCAGCTCCAAGCCTGGAGCTCCGGATCAGCGGTGCTGTCTGCCTGCGAAACGCACTGGACACGAGGAGTTGGGACAAAATATCTCTGGATTGTTCATGACAATGGCATCACGGACTACTCCAGACACTTTTCCACCATTCCAGCGCTGTAACGAATGAGGGAATGGATCCACAGGTCCCCAAGCAAGGCCATAAGGATCACTCTGCTGACAACAGAAAACAAAATATTGGCTTTGGGGCTCAAGGTTGGAATGTCGGAGCTGGAGACTTCTAGTGCGTCTATGGTCAGCAGCATGTCCACACACAGCTGCCGAAGCAGCTAGCCGTGGGCACTACGGCCCATCGAATTGTGAGAAGGCACACCTGACGCTCCCCGACACTGCATCACCTGCCCTTCTTCGCTCTGGAGGTTCGTTCTGCTACAACTGGCACTTCACCGGCCAGGAAAAAAGGCAAGACTTAGGGCGACGCAGGGCTCCTGACTGCTTCTCTGTCCAGCAGGGGGCCACCGAATTATAGGAAAACATAAGTACGGGGGGCTTGCACCAAGACCACCCTTCACAATTCAGGGGCCGTCTAAAGATTCTAGGATGCCATCTTAACAATGCCAGGAACCCCCAGAAGAGGGCACTCAATACTACTGAAAGCCCAGTTGTGGTTTGATTACCAGCCCCCCGGATAGAACGCCAAAAGGTTTTGGGGGCACGGAATGACCCACTTGCACATGATGCGTGCTGGGCTCCTGAAACAAGCTTGTGTGATTTCGGGCTGCAGGTCTGCGAATGCACGTGCCCCCGGCAAGCAGCGTTCAGCAAAATTCACGAGGGAGGCCCGAAGGAACCGTCAGACCCACTTCAGAAAGAACGGCTGCTAAACCCGAGCTCTATCTATCAACGTACGAGCCTCAGCACCCAGGCACAGGACCTTGGGGACCTCGCTCCAATGCGGCATGAGCATCTCACCGCCGACCCGGGTCCGCTTTTGACTCCGACCCTTCCTTGCTGGCATAAGTGCTTTCCACGACCGTCAAAAATACAGGTCAAAACTACGAACTGTGACCCCGGATACGGCCCTAGAGTGACGAGAGGTGCCCGACCTCCAATAAAACATGAGAAAGTGGCTGGTTGCAGCCTCTTCAGTTCAGCTTCTTCTCGGAAAACTTGTCCGCCTTCTTCTTGGACAGCTTGGGCATCAGGATTGGGCAAAGGACTGCCAGTGCAACCGCCGCACCGATTGCCATGCCCTCTGGCGTGAACATCTGCTTCTCCTGGTCGCCGAACCACGACCACTGCAGCACCTTGGCATTCTCCGAGAAGGACACCTCGAAAGAGCAGTCCTCTTGGGTGCGGTCGCAGAAGAAGTCCATCTGCTCAGACACGATTGGCACGGACCAGTACTTCATCTGCCCGTACATGAATGCCCGAGCCGGAAGTTTCATCCAGGCCATCAGCTTGTCCAAGTACAGCGTCGTCTTGAGATTGAAGGGCACGTTGTAAGTGAAACACTTGCATTCGCCGTTGTCCTCCACAACAAGCCCACACTCCTTGTAGCTGAGCGGCTGCGAGGCATCGCAGCGGCGTTGGGTAACTCCAATGGGAAGATGGGGGTCCTTGAAGGAGATGTCGATAGCACCCACTTTCTTGCGCTGCAGCTTGGGGAGGATGTTCATCGCACTCTTGGGAGGCACGCGGTGCTCTGGAACATCTGTGGGCAAAGTCCACTGCATGGTGCGCGACACGTTCACTGTGCCAGGAGCTGGCTCTTCGATGAAGTCCGGCAGGTACTGGCCGTTGTACCGGTTGAAGCCGACGCTTTCGAACCAGCTGTAGAAGATGGCAGCCTGATCCTTCCAGTCTGTGGGAAGGGACTCCTTCTTGATAACCACATCGGCAAGCATCACGTAGCGCACGTAGTTCCAGATGCCTGTGTTCACAAACTCGACACCCCACTTCTTCGTGAGGTAGGTGCGGACCTGGTGGCCAATTTGCTCGCTGCGCTTGTACACCAAGTACGGAACATCCTCCCAGGTGATCTTGTTGGTGTCGACGTCAAAAATGCAACGTGCGGTTGGCACGTACCAGGCGGAGGTGTTGCGTGCACGCATGTTGAGGATCATGTCCATATACTCTAGGGTGAAGGATCCAGCAGGGTCCAAGAGCTCGTGGTACCTATCGGATCGAGCGAAGAACGCGTGGTCCTCCAAGAAGTCGACTTGGGGTCCTTCCTGGAAGTCCTCAGGCTTTCGTTGAGTCAGCAGGTGCAGACTCAGGTCATAATCGATTCTGAAGCCTGTTTCGCTGGTGGGCGATGGCCGCACATGCAGGTTCTGATGATGGCCATGAGGTACGATGACCTTGTCGCTCGCGGCCTCGTAGATCTGCGGAGCTGCGATAGGGTAGTGCGGGTTCGCCTCCAGCGCCCGGAAAAGCTCGCAGGCAAAGTCTCGCTCCATGGGGTAGGCGTCGTTGTGCATCAGCACAGCATACTTTGTCTTCAGCATGGGCTGCACCTTCAGGAAGCCAGCAATTGGTGCATCGGCCGCACCGACGGCTACCTCGGTGAAGTGCGTGAAGAGCTTGTTGCCGACGCTCTGGGTGTCTACGTGGCGGCAGCCGCGGATGGCCGGGTAGGCGTAGTAGACGTGCATGTCCTTGGGGAAGATGGTAGAGAGGTGGGTCAGCAGTTCCTCTGCCTGAGCGCAGGTGTCCTTAACTGTCACCACCAAACTCACGCCCTGGATGAGATCGGAGTCTGAGCAGGATGCATACTTTGGCGCCACGGCATCGGGAATGCCCGGCAGCGTCATGTTGCGGAAAAGGCGGCGAACACATGGTGAGTACAAAACTCGCCCCAACGTAAGGGCCAGTAGCACAGCACCGCAGAAGCGGGAGCTGGAGAGCTTCGCAAAAAATCCCATCTCGTCTACGCGTGTCTGGCAAAATATTCTGGCTTGAGCCAAACACACCTGCATCGTGTAGCACTTCGAAGACACAACTCAATCTCGAAGGTACACTCTGCGAGTGAGCGATGCCAAATAGTCTCCCCCGCTTGTGCATGGTGCAGCATGTACGTGGGCTTATAGGGCAGGGTCGCACATTGCACTGGCTGGGGTGCACGGGCTGCCGTGGGTGCGGCGGGCGAGGGAGGATGTGCATGTGCGTGCGCGTACATGCAAACGTATAATTATACTTTCTATCCGTATGATTGTGTATGCGAACTCATCCGTGCAAACACAGCTGCTGCGGTACTATGTGACCAGCCTTTCGTGCTTCACATGCAGTGGAAACTCGTGGAGATGTTTCTTAATTTTGTGCATGCATGTGCATATCCAGCAGGCTTGCATGCACATATGCACTTATACAGTCACACACATGCGTCAGTCATCGGCAGTCTGATGCTTTGAAAGTGCCCCTAGACGAGTACACACTGGCATCGCACCGACAGCTTCTTTTCACCAGATCTCGCGCACTGGCACTCAGGTAATGGATGTGGGAATGGCTCTGCCACCGCAGTAGCTAGCCACGGGCACTGCGGTCCATCGAATTGTGAAGGCATACCTGACACTCCCCTACTCGGACTCTGCATCACCTGCCCAAGATGACGTAGGGCGATGCGAGTCTCCAAACAGATTACTGACTGCTTCTCTGTGCAGGGGGCCACCGAATTATGGGAAAACATAAGTAGGGGCCGGCACACACACCAACCTGCAGGATTGAAGCTTGAAGAGAAAGAATTCCAGGGCATAAGATGTGCGATGCAAAGCCAGCGAAAGCGCGCACCCGATGAAGACAAATGTCAATGATGTCCCATGGTGTGGTCTGTGTACCAGCCTCAGGAGAGAACCCAAAAAGCTCTCGGGGGCACAGCCTCTGCTCTTCAAGATGGTTTGTGCCGTGTTCGTGAAAAACGGTCGTGATGTTGCATCTGCATGTGCCCCCGGCAAACATCATTCAGCAAAATTCGCGAGCGAGGCCCGAAGGAACCGTCAAACCTACTTCGATAAGAACGGCTGCTGATCATGAGCTTTACACCCAGGCACAGGACCTTGCGGACCTCGCTCCAATGTGGCATAAGCAACTCACCACCGACCCGGGTCCGCTTTAGACTCCTAGCTTTCCCTATATACTGATTGGCCTCGCCTTCCACGACCACCCCAAAACGTCAAAACGTACACCCATAAAACCATGAAGATCCTAAATCACGAGCCGTCACCCCAGGATGTGGCCCCAGAGTGACAAGAGGTGCCCGACATTGAAAAAGAATGAGACAGTGGCGCTGGCTGATGCAGCCTCTTCAGTTCAGCTTCTTTTCGGAAAACTTGTCCGCCTTCTTCTTGGACAGCCTGGGCATTAGGATTGGGCAAAGGACTGCCAGTGCAACCGCTGCACCGATTGCCATGCCCTCTGGCGTGAACATCTGCTTCTCCTGGTCACCGAACCACGACCACTGCAGCACCTTGGAATTCTCCGAGAAGGACACCTCGAAAGAGCAGTCCTCTTGGGTGCGGTCGCAGAAGAAGTCCATCTGCTCAGACACGATTGGCACGGACCAGTACTTCATCTGCCCGTACATGAATGCCCGAGCCGGAAGTTTCATCCAGGCCATCAGCTTGTCCAAGTACAGCGTTGTCTTGAGATTGAAGGGCACGTTGTAAGTGAAACACTTGCATTCGCCGTTGTCCTCCACAACAAGCCCACACTCCTTGTAGCTGAGCGGCTGCGAGGCATCGCAGCGGCGTTGGGTAACTCCAATGGGAAGATGGGGGTCCTTGAAGGAGATGTCGATAGCACCCACTTTCTTGCGCTGCAGCTTGGGGAGGATGTTCATCGCACTCTTGGGAGGCACGCGGTGCTCTGGAACATCTGTGGGCAAAGTCCACTGCATGGTGCGCGACACGTTCACTGTGCCAGGAGCTGGCTCTTCGATGAAGTCCGGCAGGTACTGGCCGTTGTACCGGTTAAAGCCGACGCTTTCGAACCAGCTGTAGAAGATGGCAGCCTGATCCTTCCAGTCTGTGGGAAGGGACTCCTTCTTGATAACCACATCGGCAAGCATCACGTAGCGCACGTAGTTCCAGATGCCTGTGTTCACAAACTCGACACCCCACTTCTTCGTGAGGTAGGTGCGGACCTGGTGGCCAATTTGCTCGCTGCGCTTGTACACCAAGTACGGAACATCCTCCCAGGTGATCTTGTTGGTGTCGACGTCAAAAATGCAACGTGCGGTTGGCACGTACCAGGCGGAGGTGTTGCGTGCACGCATGTTGAGGATCATATCCATATACTCTAGGGTGAAGGATCCAGCAGGGTCCAAGAGCTCGTGATACCTATCGGATCGAGCGAAGAACGCGTGGTCCTCCAAGAAGTCGACTTGGGGTCCTTCCTGGAAGTCCTCAGGCTTTCGTTGAGTCAGCAGGTGCAGACTCAGGTCATAATCGATTCTGAAGCCTGTTTCGCTGGTGGGCGATGGCCGCACATGCAGGTTCTGATGATGGCCATGAGGTACGATGACCTTGTCGCTCGCGGCCTCGTAGATCTGCGGAGCTGCGATAGGGTAGTGCGGGTTCGCCTCCAGCGCCCGGAAAAGCTCGCAGGCAAAGTCTCGCTCCATGGGGTAGGCGTCGTTGTGCATCAGCACAGCATACTTTGTCTTCAGCATGGGCTGCACCTTCAGGAAGCCAGCAATTGGTGCATCGGCCGCACCGACGGCTACCTCGGTGAAGTGCGTGAAGAGCTTGTTGCCGACGCTCTGGGTGTCTACGTGGCGGCAGCCGCGGATGGCCGGGTAGGCGTAGTAGACGTGCATGTCCTTGGGGAAGATGGTGGAGAGGTGGGTCAGCAGTTCCTCTGCCTGAGCGCAGGTGTCCTTAACTGTCACCACCAAACTCACGCCCTGGATGAGATCGGAGTCTGAGCAGGATGCATACTTTGGCGCCACGGCATCGGGAATGCCCGGCAGCGTCATGTTGCGGAAAAGGCGGCGAACACATGGTGAGTACAAAACTCGCCCCAACGTCAGGGCCAGTAGCACAGCACCGCAGAAGCGGGAGCTGGAGAGCTTCGCAAAAAATCCCATCTCGTCTACACGTGTCTGGCAAAATATTCTGGCTTGAGCCAAACACACCTGGATCGGAAGACGTCCAACATGACCTGCACACTATGCCATAGCTGACAAACTGTAACACACTAAATTATACACAGAAAACGTAAGATATATATATATATATATAAACATGATATAAATTTGCACTGTTACTAAAGCCATCAAGTTGTCCAGCTCTCACCTGCCTCTGGCGGATCGCACAGTGCGTCCAAGCTGGCAGAATATTCCAGGAGCACCTGTCCATAGAGCGACATCGTAGTTCAAAGGACTTACATCGCCACATCCCCCAGGTTCCAGTCTCGGAGCCGGGAGTTGAAACCATGATAAACTTGTTTGCATCCAGGCCTCTTGAAGTCTTGCCGGGGAACGGCGAATGCTGTAGCACTCGTGGCTACACACTCACACTAAACCCCAAAACCCTTCGTTCTGCTCCTCTCGACCTGGCCTTTGCTACCCCGGCGCTGTCTCGAATGGCGCAAATGTGCAGCGGGGTTCGGCCTGGGCAGGGTCAAGGCCGGAACAGGCGGGATGCAGCAGTGGCAGAGCTGGGAAAATGGCATACATAGAAAGGGGAAAGCACGAAATGTGATCTTTATCCCTATCTAAATCCAGATCTCTCTCTCCCTCGCTCTCTATGTACACAAACGTACATACAATTGCATACTGCAGTTCTAGAATAGAATACAAGACAAGACAATACGTAAATGCACATACATACCGTTACATACAGTTACCTACATACATACCTACCTGCATACATACACACATACATACATACCTAAGGCCCAGAAGTCGACATGCGTGTCGCCATTTGGAAATATCAGCAAACCTAGAGTTCGAGAAAATGGTGGTTTGAATCCTCGCCGATGGGCAGGAATGGGCAGGATACTGCGTTATGTGCATCAGCAGGCATACATGGTTACAGAAGTATCTGCGGGTTTACGAATATCTTTTGATCACACCACGTTGCAGTACCTTCAACAAAATTGCATACTTCCGGCCAGCTTTGCTCCAGAGTTTCCCACCGCATTCCATAATTTTCTTCCACTTCCGCACCAGCACCCACAGCAATTCACCGGAATACTGCTGCACGGCACTGTATAGAATCGTATAGAATACTCGCATTTTTGGAAACCAACAAGATTTGCCAGGATAGGCTACGTCACTCTGTAGGTTAAAACAATTGCAGTGCTCCTTCTGGATGTGCTCTTCTGCACAAGTTCTGTACCACGCCCCGCCATACACGCTGTATTGCAGATGATGGGTCACGTTATGTACATGCACTTCGTCGCGTCCTATGTCGTTCAGCTCAGCTACAGCCTGTCGCCGAGAAAACATTGTTCACTGGTCGCCTGCCAGATTGTTGGGAAGATGTTGCACCGGCGTGAACGCTGTGTACCAGGCTTTCTTTAGCACTCGCACTCGATGCTTAGACGACTTCGCTTTGTTTCTGTGGCAGAGACACCGCCGATGCTATAAAATCTCAGCACACACCGGGAGCCGAACCGGATCGAAATGTGTCTTGCGTTTGAATGTACTAGGCATAACACCAACTCCGCTGTAACACTCAACCGTAAACCTTAGAATCTGGTATCGCGCTCTCACGTCTTCCCATGCCATCTTCAAACTTGCATCGCATGCGACGGAACTCACGGAAATGTGCGTAGTACGCGTATGCACACACAGACACACAAACTCGGACAAAGCAACACCAAACATGCCCGCACATGCTTGCAGGAAGACTGAGACCCAGCATATGCAATGTACAGGCACGTACCGGCTACCTGATGATTGACATGACCACCACGGCTGATGTTCGTGGTTCAAGGTTTGGACCATTTTGGACTCTTGAACCTGTGTCTAACCAGGGAAGCTGCTGCGCCAGCTCGTCCAGGACTTGTATAGCCCTACAACCGCCCCGCACTCCCCCTGCAGGGGATCATCAGAAGACGGAAACTACAGCCAATGTTGCCCTGATATCAAACTCCGAAGGGTGGACCATGTGGACCCTTGTCAAGGAACCTACTACTCTAAGGTAACTTAACAAGGATATTTCTAGCAAATTTGAACTTTATCGCCATTGCCGCAACTTAAAACGAAGGTTCTTAAAGAAATTCTCTCAGAGCGGGAAGGAGATGACGTGCGCGCAGCTGTCATGTTTCTTCGCACTGCAGGCAGTGTCGCTGTCGATGTTCAGGGATTCTCAAGAAGCTCAATTGTAGTTTTGGGTCTATACGAAACACTATATAGCTTGAGCATCGAGGCAGCATGGGATGTTACTGAGGACGTGGTGCTTGCTTGCAGTTCTTGCCTGCTCCGATCGAGAATCCCCGAGCACGCTATTCCTAGCTAATCCGGATGGTTCGCTAACTCAAGCTCCTCACCCGCAGCCTACAAAACATGTGACATAGGGTCCCACATGACTTCGACTTTCCAAGGTTGATCTGGGCAGGGCGTGGAGCGATAATTTGGTGCCGGGCTTTCCGCGTCGAGATTATTGAATCAGCCCTGGCTTCTCTGAAGCAGAGGAAGTTGACGAGTAGCTTTCCCTTTTCACGTGGTGCGGATACGTATTAATGTGCGTGTCGAAGCAGCGCTACAAGTATTGAAGACTGAACCCCTAAATCTAATAGTGAGCTCGCTGAAGTTTGCCGACAAGCTTTGGATACCGCAATATACCCAATTGGAACCACTCGTACTTCCAGGCTAGACCAACATGGGCACCACTCGTTTGCCGCAGATCTGTTCAACCAAGACTCTGATAAAACACAACCGGCCGTTGTCTGCGGCACACACTTTAGGATAGCCAGCGCTTCGAGTTTAGCAGAGTTCAAGAGTTCAGGTTCAGCGCTCGATTCAGCCTCTACTTAGTTGTGCATCTTAAACTTCCTATCTGCAGCGTGCAGACTGCAGCTCCGAGAAACCGGCCTGGAGGGAACTGCAACGGGCGCACGTCAGAAGGTCGCCAAGAGTTCCATGCAAGCAAATGTGGTGCGCCCCCATGCTGGGACTCTGGCTACTCGTGTTGAGATTTTGCATAAAGGGGTCTAGGCCTAGGCTCCTCCGATAACTTGCTGGAGACGACAGAACCTGGAGTGCAAGGGCAAGTCTACACCATGTTGGCTGCGAGGCAAAGCTGAACAGTGTCTACAGCCAGCCATGGAATATCCTCGGAAGTTGTTTGGCGTTCTGCGACATCCCGGAATCCTTGGCAACTATCTGCGGCAGTTGCGCGTCCTTTGGCTCTGCCAACAGGTTCCCCCTCATGGGGCCCCGTAAATAACTACTTAGAATAACGTGCCGGGGCTTCTCACATCTTTTGGAATCCTGTAGGTATGCCTACGGCTTTGCGTGTAGCTTTACATCCAACATGTTAACATGCTCCCGAATGGCAGGCCTCGGGCCCCGCAGCTCTCCGCCGCGACGAGCTAAAACTTCAAAATATGTCGAGACTAATTCGGCTCGCCAGCAGCCAAGAAGCCCGCGTCGATGGTATCTTGCAGGAACAGCTGCAACAGCTCCTGAGCTGGCCGTCTCGAACGAAACTGCAGACGATCAGACTTGTAGGTTGCGGTTTGCGCATCGAAACCCCAAAGACTTGTTGGGTCGTCTTGGCGAGGAAGCCGGGATTCGGGATCCGAGATCATCACTTCACGCATCCCGAACCTACTCCGACGGACAGCCAGGACGCTTCGTCGGATGGGAGCTCCCGATGCCTGGGACAACTTGCAATTGTTAAAAACAGCAAAGCTGCGCAGAAGTGATGCAAGGGACCCGTTTCAAAGGTAAGCTTTGCCACAGGGTATGCACACCAATGCAAGCAAGAGAGAGGGAGACAGAGAGAGAGAGAGGGAGAGCGTGGGGGAGAGAGGGAGAGAGAAAGAGAGAGAGAGAGAGGGAGACGGAGATACAGAGAGAGAGAGAGGATCGATAGATAGATAGATAGAAAGACTGATATGTGATTACGTAAAAATACAATCAGTCTTTATCACACATGGGGTGCTGTACGTGCCTTATAGGCTCATTGAAAAGGATTGTCTTACGCCCATAAAGCCCTGCACCTGCATCCCAAACCCTCAACCCCTGAAGCCCTACATCCCTCCGCTTCTAAACCGTCATCATCACTTCAGTCTTCTTGAAGAGTTTGCAGCATCTCTGGGGGATGGGGTGGGAAGCCTTGCTTGTAGTTTCTCGGCCGGGGGCGACCCTCAGCCGATTAGCTCGGGTTTCGAGCTTAGGTGGGCGCCCGGCCTGCCATATTCACAGCTAGATCTCAATCCTTGTGAAATATGACGAACATGAAGCCGAGATGTCGGTTGTGGCCAGAAGGACAGCAACGAAGGCATTACGGTGACGGGAAAGGCAAGCGCGACTGCTGGTGACGGTAATGGTGGTGGAGGTGGATGTGACAGCGGTATTTGACAATAATGGCGATCATGCTGGTGATAGTTATCGTCATGCCCATGATAAGGGCACATGGGGAGATACTGATGGTGCTGGCGATTCTCATGTGCAGTGCTGCTCGTTGCTGTTTGGACTATGAGGTCTCGCGGCTGAAGCCTGTACAAACCATCTGCACCTCCTTGGCCCTTACTGTACCCATTCTTTGGAACTGGACGCCGCCTGCAACTTTTCTTCTGTTACTGTGACTGCGAAACTCGAACTACCGGGCGACCACCTGCTGAAGAGTGGCACTTTCGCGCAAGGGCGCTGCAAGAGATCGAACCTTAGAGCCATGGTCCCAGGGTTTCTCGAGACATACGGTGCAAGCAAACTCAAGATCCCATGACTCAAGGTATAAACTAAACGGGGGCTGAGTACTGCAGTCAAGCACAGACTGTAGTCGCAGGGTCGGCTGTTCACTGTAGAGATGACAAGGACATTCGTTGCGCATTGAGTTCGGACTTAGAGGAACTCACCGCACGCCGTATTTTCACCAGTCTGTGCCTCACCTCTCACTCTCCAAGGCATACCTTGGAAGCTCAGCCTGACACTGGCGAATCCTGAGAGAATTCCTGGTTGCGGGCAGAGAACACTTGGCTCTGGAGCGGCCTTGTCAAAGCCTCAAGGACGAAACAAAAACGAGCAGCACCAGGCAAGCCAAGTAGCACGGACTCGTGAAATGCATGCACGAAGCGCCTGCGGGTTGGGTTTCGAGTCAGAATCCCGAACCCCAAAACACGCATGAAACCATGTGAAACAAGCGCCCTGGTTTCTTTGAACTTCTGCGCGCTTCACGCACGCCTGGTAGCCTCTCTTGTACCAGTAAACAAACAAGGGTTCTAGGCCGTTTGATGCTGCCGCTTCAATTTTCAGGGCCGGTGTCGCGAAGAGTTTGACAGCCTCAGTCATCGTTAAAGACAGTTTGTGAACCGAGCAAACCGAAAAAGGCAAACTGCCAACCTAAAGGTGGCCAAGGAAACTCTTATCGGCCTGGTTTCGATTTGCTATACGGTCCCCGCTGCCAAGTATGATAGTACTGACGGGGACACCTCTAGCCCCGGAAAGGGCAAGTCTGACAGTTGAAGCAAAGGATACATTCATGGAACAATACCTCCAGCCTCCAGAGAATGGACAGAATGGATGTGGGCTCTAAAATTCAGCGCTTGTACTTCCACTGCCCCTATCCTCGGCAGTCTCAGGACCCTTACACCAGAACGGAAACCACGCCCGAACCCCCAACTTTCTACCTAAGGCTTCGGTTGCTGAGGCCCTTGCAGGTGGAGTCACCACATATGGGAGCCCCACGAGTCATTCCAGAGCTAACCGCCAACCAACAGAGAAACTTGAGAAACTAACCTGGCAGATACCCCTCCCTGAGAAGTCCAATTCAAATCTGGGCCATTATGCTGCACCCTGAACCCTAAACCGAATTGTGCTATCTCGCCTCATCCAGGGTGTCGGCTTGAGATGGTGAGCAGCTGAGAGCAATACCCACCAAGTCTCTTCGTCCTCTTCTTCTACCAACTGACCGTACGAAATCGGTGATAAAGATCCAACGCCGAGCATGTATAGCAGCTGTGGCAATTTGGTCGCACATCTTGTGAGAATGGATCTCAACAAGGATCTTGGGCCCCGAAACCTAGACAAGTTCAGCATTGTCGGATATCGCTTGGCTGAAGCCTGCTCGGAACGAGGCAAACCCGCAGGCGTCCTGCTGTTCGATGACCATCGTGAGCGGCTGGTGTACCTTATCTGCACGCTTCTGCACCGTAACACCCGCATGCATCACATCGAGTTGCAGATGCGGAAGACATGCTCTACTAAGTCGTCATTGTCATGCCAAGAACCTTCGCCTCCCGAATCCCAAGCATTTCCACGCCGAGCAGCATGCGCCAGGCCGTTCCGAGTCTCGGGTGTAGCCAGCTGGTCGCCCCCAGTCCACATGTTTTCCTTAGGCATCGAAAACTTACCTTTGGTTAGTAGGGAATGGAACAATGGTGTTAATAGTAGTTTAGTTGTTCCCCATTCCTCCATTCCAAAGGTAAGATAGGGGACGTTCCATTCTTGGCGATGCCGCCCCTAGTCCCCGAATCTGAGTCTTCATCCCAGCCTTGGCATTACTCTTACGCTTGCTCGCTGCAGCCCCATGCCAACAGCTTCAATTAGCAGAACACAGAACAAGCAAACACGAAACTAACACCTCTGTCTTGACACCTTTTTCCAGATCTTTGCTCGTGCCGCCCCGGTGGCCCCAACGTGCATGAGGCCACCATGGCGTTCGAAGTCCAAGGGCTGCACGTTGACTACACAGCGCTCCTTGGCTGCAGGGGCATTTTGGAAGGCTTGGAGTTGGGGAAGCAGCAAGGGTTCTCGGGAGCTCGGTTCTGGGACAAGGACCGTTACCAGGGGCACGAGTACGCCTCAGCACTATAATACTGGTGCTTCTAGTTCCCTCAACCACCACATCATTGACTGCGATTGTCTGCTCGGCTATCACCTCAACTGCCACGTTGGCTTCCGCGACCCGCCTCACCACACCACCAATACAACTACCGCTACCTCCCTCAAAGCTCTGATGCACCGGATGGCGTTGTGTTGAGGAGTACCGCTGAGAAATGGGGGTATCCGGGACTAGGATCTGTAGAGGTGCGCTGTGTCTTGCACATCAACAGCCCCAGAAGCTCTGCAACAGTACGGCCTTGCCATGAAAGCCTTACACATCTAGTGCTGCCATCTAACGTATGCGCTGTAGTATAGTGTTTGGGGTTTGAGGTGAATGTAGAAGACGTGTGTGGGCAGCGTTTGGACCTCTTACAACAGTTGCGACGACGCTGCGACCTGAGAAGCAAGCTAGGGCAAAGTCATTGAAACAGTGCTGAGAGTGGTGATCGAATTCAGGCTGTGAGTACCCTGCATAAGACCCGCAACACGACAAATTGAGGAGCTTTGCCAATCATGATGACGAGTTTTAGACTAATAGTCACACATACCATACAACTGTATGGACCTGAAACCATATCACAATCATTGCTTATGCACTCTGGCCAGCTTAGTGGAGCTTATCATGTCAATCGCACCCTTGAGGAGCCATTCTTATGAAACCGTTCCACTCATTAGGACATGGCTTAATGACATTGCTCGTGCTATACCGTCATCATGCTCCAAGCGACGGGCTTGCGCAGCGCATTGTAGGGAACCCACTGCCGACTCGGTCGATGTTACAAGCAGCTCCGTGTGGGTTCTTGCCGGATCTACAACTTGCAAACCAGTGTGGCATTCGATCTGAAACGCCAAAATAGCGAGAAGCAGCATGATGCACATGCTTGTCTCTGCTGAAGCAGAAGCTGCACGCGAAGGACTTGGATTTTCGTGGCAAGCAACCACCAACTGAAGCAAGCCTAGCAAAAAGAGTAACCATGATCTTCACAAGTCAACTCTGGACGTACACAGTCTGAGGTCCTTGGGCCAGCCCTGGGGACCCTGGGTCAAAAACACATCCGCCTCGTGCACCCGAGCGCAGAACCCTTGGCGACACGGATGCTCCAGAAACCCTCTAGACTCTATATAGTAACCCTTACATGGGAGTTTCAGAAAATAGGGGACTCTAATATAGTACCCTCAATAGTAGGATCCTTTATTATAAGGACCCAAAAACAAGGTACCCCCAATTCTCGGCAACTCCCTAATGGTAATCCTTACATGTAGTGACTGTAACCTTAAGCCTCAAAAACCCTTGATTGCAGCTCAAGAGCTTCTGAATCTTGTAGTAGAGCCTTGGAGAGCCGTTGGGACAGAAACCCACAGCTCACTTTGTGCAGCCGGGCCTATGATTGGCATCTAAGGATGTGATGGAAGGCTACGATACTCAAAAATGATAGTCCTTGCTAGGCTACTGTCAGAAGGGTGCGCCAGGAGATGATGTTGACAGCGTGATCCTTCGTGTGTTCAAATTCCTGTATGAAGTGGAGCACGGCCCGGGCAGGGCAAAGTGTCAGAGATGACAGTGGTGCGCAGGCTCCAGCATGAACAAATAATGGCCCATGGCGCACTGCCCTGAAATACCCAAAGTGAAGATGCCGATGCCCCTGTCCCAGGTACGCTGCCAATTCTCCGAAGCGACCAGGTTTCACTAAACTTGCATCTTAGGTTTGGGACCATGCGCTTTCGATACAACATGTCGGGGCTGAAGTGCGAGTGCTGTAGCCTGGGAAGCTGCCGAAGGGCAGCTAACCTGTCGCAACTTCCTACAGACGAACTTTAAATCCTAAACCCTAAACCCTAAATCCTTCTGGACTTTGCTGAGAGGCTGAAGGAGAGTTCCGACCACCGTGGCATAATCGAAGTCCACCTGTAAGCAGCAGTGAAGGCTCAAGTGCGTCGTACACCCAGAGCAGGACGTTAGGCTGCGCCACATCAAATACCCCCCGCCCTGTTGGCCCTATAGACACTGATATCCACCGATGCGGTGTTTTACAAAGATCCGGCGCCATGCTGCGTTGAAACACTTAAGGTTCTGTGGCAAAGGGCTTCCTCTATGCTTCCAGCGGCCAAGACTGGAATCCAGAATCCCGCAACAAGACCTCTGCCAAGCCAACTCCACATCTGAAGCTCTGACGGCGGGATCACTACTGCACGGCACCAAAAACTCAAGCATCCCTACAAGAGGAATTTTAAGCTCGAGGGACTCGAACGAAGATGTCCCGCCAGTCTGAGAAAAGGCCGACAGCCTCGGCCCAAGAATGCTTTACCACTTCTTTGGAGAGGTTTTGGTTTCATCGCTCCAAAAGGACGAAGCTGAGGGTTACACAGCACATTGGCTGAAGGCGTTTCGTTTGGTTTTCGGCTGGTGCCTGGCTTCGCCACACTACCCTGCTCGACTCCGCGCTCACAACCTAAAGCTCTTACTTACTACTGTTTGGGCTTCTCGTTCAGGCTGTGCGATGCGTGGGTCCAGGTCTTCGACTGTCGAATCCGAAACATGCATGAAGGACTTATTGCGCAAGACGGCCACAATCTGTGGCAGTGAACCAACAAACAGACTCAGCTGGCCTAACCGTCGCTAGGCGGTAACTGCGATCCACCTGTCCCTGCCAACTCAAAACCCCCAAGCATGCAGCAAAACCTTGCGATCTGTCCCATAGGCCAGTCTGCAGCGCAAACCTGGCTTTAAACCAGCAGGCCTTCTCTTCAAAGCCTCCTGAAACCATGCACTCTGAACTCTTTACTTTACTAGCTGCAAACTTGTTTCACATGATACAGTCTGTGGCGCTGCGTGCAGTACTGCTCTCCACATACAGCCCAAAGCCACGCCCTAAATCGTGTAATCCCTCCGGCGGATGTTACCTGTTCAGGTACCGTTCGATACGAAGACTTGTAGATGGGAAAAGGCGCAGGCAACCCGGGAACACACGAACCCGGGGCTCTAAGGCCTAAAGCCTCGGCCACGAGCCCGAAACTCCTGGCCCCCCACCCCAAAACTCTCAACCCTTACAGTAACCTTTATCGCAACTCTGATAGTACCCGACCGACTGGCTTCTGCTTCCAAGGGTCCATTGCCTCGCCGTTGCCGTCCCCTGAAAACTTGGGTGCTTGAAGGGTTTAAGCCTTAAGCGATTTTGTTTCTTAGGCGTTGGGGGCTGAGGGTTCTAGGGTTTGGGGGCCTAGGTTTCTCACAACTTGAGTGCTTAATATAAGAGTGTTCAGGGGTTAGGTATTGAAAGTTTCGAGGGTGCAACCGACGCCAATGCAACTGCGACGGCAGTCAAGGACTGCAACAGCAGCAGCAGCAAGAACATCAACAGACTATATTTACTATAACACAAAATGGGTACTGTAGCATAGCGCAACTAAACAAATTGGAACGCAACACCGAGAATAAGACTGTCCAGCGGCGCATGCCGGCGTAGAGCGTCAATTCCACAGTGTCGCTATTGTCTGCTCGGGCATTTGCCTTGACAGACAAACACTGTTCGAGCCGTTGGGGCTTCGATTTAAAATTGTTGTCCCTTGCATTCAGGAAAAGACCGTTCGGGTTGCAGTCAAAGCTTGAGGTTCCGGAACGACTCAACCTCAAGCCCGCAAACTGGTCGGATATCATCTGCCCGAACAGGCTTCGAGCTGGGAGCTGCCTTACTCTCCCCTCACGGCCATGATGTGAATCCCGATCATCAACCATGAAAAAAGGGCTTGTTTATGTGTGACTGCTGACAGGGGCTTTGGAACTATTGCAAAAATCACAGGAACTATCGGCACGTTCTTGGGAACTATATGCAGCAGTGTCCCTGAATAGTTGGAAACCGTTCCGAACCGTCAGAACTGTTGCGATGCGTCCTGGCACACCTCAAAACCCGAACACGACAAAGAGATCCTGAGATCCGAATTAAGGGTCTGATGGCCACTGCGGGCAGGACACAAATCCCATTCTAAACGATTCCGGAAGCTACTCTAAAATAGTCTTATAATATGGTGTTTTCATAAATCAGGCTGTGTCTGGCCACGCGGCGCAAATGCAAAGGCCCAGCAGCACGACATCCAAAGGAAGCCGGTACCTTCCACTACAGAGCAACGGATTTGCATCAGCTGCAACGGCTTCACGGAAAAATTACGGCTCGGAATAAAATTCGATACCGCAGAAATTCGTTGACTCCGAACACAAACAGTGCAAACAGCGCATGGACAAAAATCTGCTATTCGGTACGAGAACATGACTTCAATCAGGTTTCGGCCTACTTCGGGCCCACATGATGAAACCAGGATGACGGCACGTGCTGCTCAGGTGGCTTTGGCATCGCCAAGAAGTTTAGCACAATTGGGAAGCTGACAAGAGAAAAGGGTACATATCATCCCCAATTGCTCGGAGAGGTCTCTGCTTCTGGGTTTGTGCCGGCTCAAGAACCCACATTGTGCAGTCTACCTTGGGCTTCGGAATGCATGGTCTCCGGGGTTCGCCCAAAAAATAGACTCTGACCTTAGGAAACGTGCCCTGCCATTCTGAGGCGGCCCACTGGACGCCCACTTTTGCCAAGGCGGCCACTGCTGCTGGAAGGAGCCCAATACCTGGGACACTCCGAAAGCGGCAGATGAGATCCGAACCCATCAGGTTCGGAGAAGAAGCGGATCCAAAGAACTCCACCCAGCAAGACCGTGCAGTGCCAGACTTCTGGGCTCCCTTTGTGCACGAACAACGAAACTCCTGGCATCATAGACGGAGATCGATGGATCAGACCGTCATGCATGGTGCCACTGAGTCCACACCAACCCCATCTTGTGACTCAGTGACCCTGGAGTCTGAACCAGGGCAGAAGGGAACCATAACTACAAGGTCGCGCCCGGCTGATGCCAGAGGCGGTTTGCAACTCCGACAACTGGGTTGGCCTTTAAACACCCTGAAAAATATTTACATGTAGGGTCCCTTATAGACACAAATAAGGAAAATAAAAATGTCCCAAAATCCAACCTAGACAAGGCATCCGGCATCCGCCGGGATGATGGGTCTGTCCCACATGACCCTGTTTATGCGGGATGCGCATCTACCAAAGCTGATTTCTGCGGTATCCCCTCCTACTTGGCAAGGACGAAGCCCGCGTTGCAGGGTGCATGGTTGAACATCCGCAGAAACAGAGACGGGGCAGTGCATTGGCGGATATTCCGGCTTCGGAAATTCAACCGTCGGTGTTGAGAGCTTCGGGATTAACGTCCGTGCAAGGCTTCCAATAATTCACCGAGCCCCAAGCATACGCTGTCCTTTCATTTAAGTCGGAAACCTTGTTCAAACGCGGGACGCTCCAAATTGGGGTCCAACTGTTCCTGATCACAAGGACTCTGAAAGGCCCAAGAGGGAACATCATTTCGCATAGCTGCGCTCGAGACCACGGCTATTTGGTGCAATGTCATCATGCGGCAATTACTAGTAGCTACTAGTAAGGTGTATACGGTTTAGGCTGCACCCCAAAACCCTAAACCCCAAAACAAATCCCCATACTTTGAAATTCCTAAAACCCACAACTCGGATTCCCACAATTATTCCTAAACTCCAGAACGCCACATAAGCCCAGTACTCGAGTCCAAGCCAGGATGCTGTGGCCGTAGCCTCGACCCCTGAAGCGATAGATGCCGCCCCGGAGGGAGCACCGAGCAGGGGTTGGCCTGGCTTCATGTTGCGGGAGCTGCGACATGATGTCGACGTCTGTAGGTAAGTATACTACTTATGTGTATGTATATGTATATATGTACAAAATCACATCTAACCGAATCTAACCAAAAAACTGTATATAAATATAGAGAGCGATGGACATGTGTGTACTTCCGCAAAAAGCTCCCATGCCTACCCACAATTTACTTTCTGTTCCACTGAAGCTTCCGACGGCTTGGGGTTTGGAGGTTCTTTATGACACAGACATTCCGGTCACTCTGCAAGCCCATTCATCTGCGGACAGAAGCTTCTGCCGTGACATCGCTGCCGCAAGCCTTTCCGCATCCTTCTGCGGACACAGTCCCAAGCCAATTTCGGGATCTCCACGTTTAGTAGGCATACATCTTCCAAAAAGCAGCTCATTTGAGCAATGACGCCCCTGCCAACTAACCAGCCGAGCCCTTACCTTGTGACCGTGGGACCACGAATCCCTTCCAAGTGCGTAATAACGGGGCCACCTCAATGTAGCCAAACCACAGAACAACAGCCGGAAAAGATACGATGCTACAGGAAACTCGAATGCCGTCACGAGACGAAACCAACAGTCTTGCATATCCAAAGGCCCAAAAACTCAAAAATGAAAAAGGCCGGAGACGGCCTCTGATTGAACGTGTCGAAGAGTCTGCGCTGGAGCTCCGCGAGGCTGTCCTCTGAATGGCCAGGAGCAGACGCCCCCATAGCTTAGCCATAGCTTAGCATCTGTCATACTTTTTGCTAGCTGCTTCTGCGTCTACTACTCCGGCGACTACGTACTATATGCATTTTGCCATTCCTGCTACAGTGGGCAGCATGGGCAGCAACCTTCCTCTCAGGGTTCGTCATTCTGAAAAAATTCTCGCCCTGACGATGCCTCCAGAGGCGCCAGCTGCGGCTCCTTCTGCTCTGCAGCGGCAGCGTAGCCGGTCATGAGGTCCTGCGAGAAAGCTGGGATTTACCCTCAAAGCCGAAGCCACACCTCCGGCCCAGCCATGAGAAGCAATGATGAACCCCAACAAGGTGCCTTGACCAAGGGAAGATAGCAATTTCCGTCTGCAAACGCGTGCAGCATGCAGACGCCAATGAAACCTTTGCGATCGGCATGGTTGCAAAAATTGTTGCTAAGTCGCTACACGCGACAGCCCCACGATTCTATGCAGGAGTTACGCAGCTATGCCCACGATGGCCGGTTAGCCTCAGGCCCTTGTGCTGCTCTTATCTCCTAGCAGCTAGCATCTTGTAACCGGGGCTGTTGATGCTGTTAACGTTGTACCAACTATTGTGACTTTTACTATTCGCCTTGGCCCCGCCCGAAGCGGTCAGAGGTCACCAGGATCCCTTGCTGCCGCTCCTCATACCCTCCACTCTCCATATTGTGGCCCAACTTGACCCCACGGTCAGGTGGTGAAGTCTCGTGGCCCTCACTCCTAACCCCCTTGCACTGCCCCTCCTCCCTCCTGCTCCACTCCGCCAACAACGCCTTGAAGAATCATCCGGCCCTCTTTTTGCGGTCGGGCTGTGGCGGACGACGCGAAGCGTTTACAAACATTTATTCCTGGTGGTGGTGCTAGCTCTGCTGATGCAGGTGGTGCTGGACCCCACGGCCTCAAATCATGTATGCGTCGTCGTCACCCAAACCACGAAGGCTCTACAGCAGAACTGTGTACGTGGCCTTCTCAGTTCTGCTGGGGGTGCGTAGGGAGGAGTGGCTAAAAACAAGGCCCCCTGTGTAGGATTCCATCCCATAGCAGATTGCGAATGTTACCGCTACTACAAGTGAGATACGGACCAAAGATAGCAGCACCCACTTAAAGGATCATGGCACTTAGTAACTAGGGTTATTATTGGGGTTACTATACTTATAATTACATATAACCCCAACTCAGGGACTTATAAGTATACCTAGACCTACTAAACCCTACTTTTTGGTAGGTTTTGGTAGGTTAAGGTAGTTACTAAGTCCCCTGATCCTCCAAGCACATCTTCTGCCCTGACACTCCATAGTAGTTCCTTTTTGGGATTACCTTATTTACAGACTTCTATATATGAAGCCCTAAAAGGAACTACTTTGGGGCCTATGGGCACCCACATCTTCTGCCGTGACACTGACGATCACCGGCTCGGCGGTTCGCGACGAGGCTCGGACGGCTGCCAGGCCTCAGTGGGAGCTTTTGGCGGCTCAGTCTTCGAGGATGGTTTGGGGTTTAGGGGACTTTAGGGTTAAGGGTTTAGGTGGGGGAGTTTAGGGTTAAGGGTTTAGGGTTTATAGGGGAGTTTAGGGTTTGGGGGAGATTTGGGTTTAGGGGAGTTTAGGGTGTAGGGTTTAGGGATGATTCCCACTTTTGTCCTGTCGGGAATTGATTATGGAACCCACAAACATGCTTGCAGGTCCCTTTAAACCATCCTCAACCCTACTGTTGCAGCCGTCTGTCTGCAGAAGCGCTCAAAGCTCAAGCCAAACATCCGGCTGCTCATCATCCAGATACTTAGAGCCTATCTTCAACATTCCTGGCATCAGAAGCATGCATGATCATAATGCATCCAAATCCATTCCCTCGCCCTGACCCGCAAAAACTGAAACTGTAATGACCTGCGCCGCCCAAGCGGCCGTGTCGCGTAACGCGGCTCGAGCCACGTGGCTCCAAGTAACCTCGGAGCTCCGTTTCGTCAGGAGCCGACGAACTGCACCGGGCGTTTGAATGGTTCGTTCCAACTGTACGGCCCCTGCGCATGACGAAGCTTCGAAGGTCATCGAAGCATGGGCTAGCTCTGATTAACGCCCGTACACTATCTCCGCAGGCCCTGAGCGCCCGGCAAACGCGCAACTCGTCGGCTTTGTGCACACCTTACGCAGGCCCCTGTGTCCCCCGAACATCTGAGAGTGTGGTGCGAGCTTTTCAACACTTTGCCTTTGAATTGTTGTTGCCGACGGGCATGTGGAATGGTCGGGCTTCGCAAATTTCACCGTATATGCACTTTCCCACTTGCAGTACGAAAGCAACTAAACTAAAGCCCTTCACCTCAAGCCCTAAACTTCGGGAACCTTAGGAGACCCCCTCAACCCTAAACCCTTATAAGCGCCCTCAGCTCCAGAAACCCTGACGCTTCCGTCACTTCCTGGGTGCCGCACGTAACCAAAGCGAGGCCCCGGAGCTCAAAGGTACAAAGAAAAGCCTCGCACACCAAGCAGAGTATTTATGACTTTAGGGTTTCGACATGTGCACTCGCACGATGCAGCACGGCTTGATGAGAGACCAGCTTGCCCTCGGGACATGAGAGCAGGGATATACGCCAGGACTTATAAAGGGCCGGCATAACAACTGTTCTCAAGAGATAATCAGGATATCCCTGCAATCACGTCGTTCAGGTCGGAGGTGCTGCCCGCACCGTGAAAGAGGCTCAACGCCGTCACTGTCAGTAACACCGGAAAACCTAAAAGCAGTTCAGCGATAAAGGGAACAATACAACAATGACAAAATCACCTCTAGTTTGAAAGGCTCTATGGCATCTATCTATAGCCTCCGCTTTAAGCGCCAACTTTCACTTGCCTGAGAGCTGGCGGCAAGACTTGCACAACGAAAGTGAGGGAACTCGAGCAACACCGACTTAACTCTGAGATATATCCTCCCCTCAACAGTCCAGCCGAAAAAGTTGCTGCGCAGTAAAATCCTAAATCCCACTGGAAGAGACGAGAAGCGCTGGAAAGCCGTACGGCGGACGCTCCCTGCCCGCAAGAGCTGGAGAAGGGTTCATCAACTTGTTAGCACACGCTTCATGGCTTTCGGATTTGGTTTTAAGTTGCTCGGGCATGATCAGAAGCTGCATTTGTATAAAAGCTACATTCAATCCTGACGGTTCCTGCTCGGTTAACATCTTCTGGCAGAAGCGCGTGAATTGAATACATCGGGGTACCACCATACAAGCAAATTTTTTTGTAACCAACCCCACATCTCTACACCCCAAACCCCTCGAAGGCCAGCCCGACCCCGTGTGGCATCGGTTTTCCCGCCGCAGGGGTCGTCTGAGGCCTTGGAGGCCCCTACTGAGCGCAGCACTCGGGGCACCTTAGCTGAGAAAGCTCCTCAAAGCTTCGGCTCGAGGGGAAGCTTCTGTCCGGTCAGTTTTCTGGTCCAAGAGACCGAGTGATGATGGAATATTTTTTATAACAAAAATCATGGTAATATTGAAAATATATCCGTTCGAAGCTAGAGGAGGATTGAATGAGCACATGAGGCCTCTAGCTCCCAGAAGCAGGAACTCTCTGGCCTGAAAGCTGCACACGCAGAGCATGCCTATACGACAACGACCGAAAGCATCCCCAAACCACGAAAGATGACCAGAGCGTTACATTGCACAACCTATTCAGAAGCTGCATTGCTTGGAAAGTCGCCAGACCTTTTACCCGTAGCCTGAACAAAAAATGAGACTCGACATGAGCCAGACCCTTCTTTAATTAGTAGACACACTCCGATTCTTGCATCCAAGGAGTCGTCAGAGTCGCTACGATGCAACGACTTCACCCCTCAACCCGGAATCTTAGTTCCTCAGATCATGCCAAGGCGCACGGGCGTTGCTGTCGAAGTCCGGTTGAAGACGACAGCGAGCCGGTGTTTCACATGCGTGAGCCTGTGGCCTACATGGATCTACGCACTTGCACACGTTCATTTCCGCAGGTCCTTCCCGACTGTGCAGTAAGCACTATGCAAGTTTAAGGATACGGTATAGTTCTAAAGCGCCCTCCTCAAGATTCTGGCCTGGCGAGGTGCCATCTACCTTCCTCCCACACTCAACATCTGCTAATGCTACAACACCAAGAGCTGAGTGCAAACGTCAGGACTCATGCTGCCCTTATCAGCTGAGGTTCACCCACAGACATTGGAACAAGTCGTCCAGAAGTCTAGGCTGGAATCTAGCTCGGCTAGAATGTACCTTCCTGAGCCACTTCCCTGCAAAACCACAACTTGACACAGTCTCTAGTAGATTAGACACTGAAGCGAAGGCCTGTCTACGAGGTCTCGGTCCCGCTGCCGTCTTGGAGAACTGGCTACATCTATGGGAAAATAGACCGGCCAGTGGCCGCTTAGCCGGAGTGCCATGCTGCGTGCATGGCGAGCTCCCACTCTGCTCTACAACCAGGCTATTTGGTTAAACTGCGAGGGCTCCAAAAGCCCAAAGGAAGGCTCCGAAGCCAGAAGAAAATACTCACCTGCACATCTTCCGCACTCTGCGGCCATATCACCATCCGCCGGTAGGCGGAGCATGCGATGGTATCAACGTGTGTATAGACGTACATAGAGATACAACGCCCCATCCGCAATGGGCGGAACATGCTTACCTAGGAGTGGTCATATTACTTCATAATTTGGTGACGGACTCACTAATCTGCGACGTTCTGGCTTCCGAAGACATGGAAACTGGGCTTCTTCATAAAATTAACTCACCGCCCCTCAGCGGGCTGCGCCCTGGGGGTGGAGGGGACCGCCAACCGCGTAGGCACCGGACGGAACCTGGTTATTGTCGGAGGCCGATTCGGCAAAAGGGCTCCGTTCGGGGTGCTATTGGACTCTTTTAAACAAGGGCTTCGTGAGGGTTCCTATAAGGGTCCTGGGTTTTGGTGATTGAGTGGTTGTCAGACCTGGGATTGAGCTCGCGCGACTCCGGACTACTCCGGATTCACCCTCTCATCAGGTTCGCTATGAGCTCGTCCAGCAGGCTCTGTCTACACCCTACGGATACGGCAGGCCCACATGAATCAGGTCTGTCGTTTTCAAGACTGTTGGATTCAGACCCCGGATTGAGTGTGAGATGTTCCCGGCATCAACAGAAAATAGCGGCACGTGCATCCTTGGTCCAGAAGCTCTTTTTATCACCTGTGAGCTTGCTGGAACGCAGTAGAAAAGCTAGTCCAAGTCCCCAGCTCTGTACCCGTTGCCACGACGGTTCACGCCCTCAACGGTTCGGTCTAATCGCCTAGCGTGGGGGCATATAGAAAACGCCTGAAAGCCGCAACCTTGACAGGAAATCCTCAACCTCCCATCGCGGTTGCATCCGGGTTCTTGTGAGCCCATATGC